CCACTCTCAACTGAGGAGAAAGAAGAAGTAACCTCGTGGTACCACAACACACCACACATCCAGCAGCGGGGTGGCTAAACTCACTCTCCTCCAAACAGGAACGTGAAAAAACACATTTCTCCAACAAAGCAACATCCCCAGATCTACAAAAACTTTTCCCTGCCAAATAAAGTGGACAACAGACCTTGCTAAAAGGATACGGGTACAAATCCAAAGCCTCTGGACTCGGGGCTGACAGCTGGGCTCACTGCCCCCCTCCCACTGAATTCCTACATGTCCGGTGGTATTTCATCTCCATCTCCCCACCATGAGGCGGACCCAGATGGCAGCAGCCTGGGGACCTAGAAATAAAGGACTCCAAAACCATAGCAAAAGCTGGGGAAGAGTCAGAACGGCCAGAGCAAGGACAGCCATGGGGCAGGAGCATGGGAGGTGGGAACAGCCGAGCGTGCTCCGTGCTATTTCAGTGTCCTTTAGAGGTGCTGCTCAGGTGATCTGATGATGGAGAACAACCAAATTCGGAGTGAAAAAAGGAAGAAAAAGGCCCCATCGTAGGCTCAGTGTGGAGATCTCTCGGGGAACTTGGATTAGTCCCTGTCAGCTTCAAACTGCAGTGCCCCGATCCAGGGAATTTCACAGCAAATACTGCTTTAAGAGACCGCCCTTCTGCAGCACGTCGATGGGGAGGGGGCTGAGCCAGGGACCCCGACCCAGACTTCTCAGGGGGATGGTTTTTAATAGCTGGGGTGCAAGAGATTAAGGTCAGGATATAAATCAGCTTCTTTTGTTAAAGTGCCTTATTTTCTTTGAGCTTTTGAAACATCTTCCTTGCTTTTTCAGAAAAGTGGGGGGAAAAAAAAAAGGAATACTGGTTTTATATGAAACAGAGTAGAGAACTAATCCATATTTACACTATTCTTGGATAAGGTTATGGCACAAGACTAACAACCCAACGCAGCAACCCGAAAAGCAGAGTGTCAAAAAGAAGGGAAAAACCTGTTCATATGCTTTCAACACCAGCCCCTTGAGATCCCAAGTGTAAACGGTTTTATCTAGGAAAAGGCATTTTAACTTGGGCTTTGGTAATCGGGGTTGATTACAGCCACGTTGCGCAGCCGGCGGGGAGACGTGGGTGGGCGCGCAGCCGCCCGGCCTCTCCAGAGCGCAGCCCGGGTCTAGACAAGTTCAACTTTAGCGTTCGGATAAACAGCCACCACGTCATATCCCTCGGGGGGCTTAACCCTCTCCTTCGCGTGCGTCTCGCAGTACAGCTGCTCCTCGATGAAGAAATACCCTCTCTGCTTCAGGTTGAGGCCGCAGTCGTCGCACATGAAGCATTCAGGGTGGTAGAGCTTGTCCCGAGCTTTGACAATCGTGCCCCTGGTGAGAGGTGTGCAGAGTTCGGATGAGACGGAGGGACAAGGAGCATAAACAGCTTTTCCTACTGCCTCGAGTAAAACGGAGCACGTAAAGGAAAGTGCCATATCAGGGCACGTGAGGATGTTACCGTGGTTCCCATCCCAATGCTTCAGCCCTCCCAAACCTACCACCCGGCTCCAGCGTATTTCTACGGGAACGGATGCTCCGTCCCCATCTCCCTGCACACCCTGCGGCACGGTCGCTGCCAAGCAGAGCTTTAAATATCTGCGCTCAGCCTGGATCCGAGCGTCAGGAGCCAGCACCCAAGCGCTGCTGGCAGGGCTGGGGCTGCGCAGGCTTTTGGAGCGGGGACCCCCAGCTCACGGCACCGGCAAGAACATGGTTACAGGCACTGGCGGAGCAGACTCAGCCAGCAGATCTGCCTGGAGCAGGACGTGAATTACAACAGCACGTAAATTTCAACACAGCAAAGCAGAAAAAATCCTATATTCTCTGAAATCAGACCAAACATCCATCAGTCAGAGAGTAACTCTACAACACACAAACAAAATTAACCCGCAGACCTCTCCCACTTGACCCTCGAAGCGCTTCTCCCTGCGTAAGGCAGCGAAAGAGTCCCCGCGCCGCCGGCGCTATTCATAGTCCCTGGGCAGTTACTATGATAAGCAGGGCAGAAACCGTCCCATGAATCATCCCTGAATTGCTGCAAGATTCCCTTAAAAGGGGCAATCCAAACCGTATTCCTCAATTCCAGGTTTATATATGGTTAGCAGAAACCAGAAAGGGATTCAAGGTATCCCGCTATAAATTCCCACCCACGTGTCTGGTAGGGCCCGGCCCAGCCACGTCCCTGCAGAACCATCCCCATCGAACCGGAGGCTCCGGCCAGACGCGGCACTTACACGATCCCGTTCCCGCAGCGGGTGCACTCGGGGAGCATCTGTAGCCCGGACATGGCACCACCAAGCTTGGACACGGGGGACTTGATGTTTCGGGGGTTGCTCAGTTTGTCGAGTTTTTCACCTGCCAAGAATTTTAAACAGACACAGGTTGAAAACTTGTCCTTTCGGGGCTTCTTTTTTCCTTTTTCCCTTTTATTTTTTCTTTAAGGAGTCAGCTGAGCCTCTGCCTGTCCCAACAGAACTTGCTTGTAAAGAAAAAAAAGAGACCAACTACCTCAAAAGTCACACGGCATTCAGGTTTGCAGATGGCCCCAGGATGCTGCGCTGACCCTCTGCTCATCCTAGCGAAACCAGGATGGCGGCAGAAGCCCTCGGCTGCCCCAGCAGAGCACCCACCCACGTACTGTGACAGCACCAACTCGGTACATACGCCTTGTCAAAAGGCCAAGCAGCCTTAATCTAGACAAGAAAGATGAATTCGCCTGCAACGCTATTGAGTAAGTTAAGAAATGTAAATAGCAAGAATCTCAGAAAAGCTCCAGAAAGAAGAGGCTTTATCACACTGACATTTCAGGTAGATCCACCATCAGTCAAGGAGACAAACATAAAAGCCTTTCGGAGAATTAGGCAAATTAAAACAATCATAGAACCACATGCATGTTTTTTCTGCCTGGAACACTCACTTAATCTTACATAATCTCAAATAAAACAGTGTGATAGAAGATAAGTCCTTCTGGAGTGCCAAGCCTCCTTTCATAAAGGTCTGACGACGGGAATGGGAAGCAGTGAAGATTTTGGGCACATGAACACTGTTGTGGTGAAGTTCTCAGCGCTGCAAACCCCCTTTCCTACAGATCAGCCATCCGCCCTCGCACTTTGGACAACACAGGCGCGCTCGTTGCCACGCACGGGGATGCCTAAAAGCCTCCGCTCTTCAGTGCGTGGTTTGTCACCGCTCACGCGGTCTGTCGGGTGTATACTGACCTGTGGTTCCTCCGTGGTGGCCTAAGGTTATAGAAAGGAAAAGCTCATGGAAAAGGACAATTTTACTCTGTCAGCTGATACAGTTTGGAAAAGCAGAGGAGCGTTTGGATGAAGACGCTGTTCTTCAGCGCTGGGGCTTCCTATGCTCCCTGGGTTTCCAGGGAATCTCAGCCCATGGTCAAGCTTGAAGGTGTGCTTAAAGCAGTGATGCCCAGGAGGTCTCAGCCCTGGCACCTTCCGACTCAGGTGTCTGTACGCACTGCACCGGCTTTGGAAAACTCCACCTGGATCTTGCTTTGAGGTGTCCACCACGGCTCCAGGGAACTGTTCAGACCTGGAAGTGTCATCGCTGGTGGCCACTCCCTGATCCCATGCAAGCGGTACGTTTTGAAGGGCATGGCTTGGCAGAGCCGCTTCCCCTGGAGAGACTCCCCGCTCCTCCATCCCTCATGTCTTGGGAGCTTGGCTGGGGATGAGGGAGCACCCCTGACCCTAACCGCTGGGGTTACCCTCGGGATGTGCAGAGCCCATCTCAGCCGGGGCTCTGAGCCAGAGACCAACGCTGCCACCGGTTCTAGCCAAGCGAGTGAACCCAAAAGGACTCATTTCCCACCAAACCCTGCTGTCCCAAGACACAATATAGCGTTTGGAGGTGCAGAGAGCATTGGTACACCTGAGGCTGCCTGCCGAGGGGTGGACCGGGGCTGCTGCACCCCAGGGATGCTCCGAGCGCTGGGCTGGCTCCAGCTGAGCTCCTGTCAAGTCCTCCCGCCGTCTTGCTGGGAATGAAGTGAAACAACTGCTCGAGCTGTTGGCTTTCCCCAGCGTGAGGTACGGCGTGCTTGGGCTAGACACACTCATCTGCCAGCATTCAGCAGTTAAGCTGTCGCTGTCTCTCAGAGCGCTTGGATAAGCTGCTTAAAAAGGGGGGGCAGAGGGGAGATTTTACAGCAAAACGAGCCCTGCAGAGAAAGCTGCTTCTCATCTTCCCAAATGAGGGATCGTTTCCTACTATTTAGCAGCCCAGAGTCTCACTGCAATTTACGGTCCTCAGCACGGCAGCGAGATGCTTTAACTCCACAATGTGGACCATCGCCGTCCCCGCTTGTGGCTGTAGTGCTCATCCTTCCCATGCCAAGGGCACCTATGGGGATGACTGCTGGGATCCCTCCAGGCTCCATCATATCATCAGTACGATGCTCCTTTCAGGGATGGAGCTGGAAATGCTGAAGAAAATCTGGCTTCCAGTAGAAACACCTTCCATGTAAACCAGGTCATTGTCTGAGACACCCAGCTCCTCAGGAGCGGAGATCTGCACTTTGAAAGGGCAATGCACAGCAGGCTCGGGACAAAATGTACGATTTTAGGCTTAAGAAAAAAAGAGCAGGGGAAGAAGCTGTAAAACAACCTAGCAGGAACACTCCCGGGGATTTTAACCATGCTGAAACATCAGAGCTTTCTGCCAGGAGAGATGCTTTTCACTCCATTTCTCATCCCTCATGAAATAAACACCGATAGCGCCGTAAGGAGTAAGGCACGAGCGAGACGTGCCTGCAGTCAGTCGCACATCCCTGCTGCAGCACAGCCGAGGGGGCAGGGGTCGGTGGCAGAGGCCAGGGAGGGGCTCTCCAGCCTGCCGCCACGCTGCCTGGCACCCATCAGCATCACCTCCGGCTCCAACGGAACGGGTGATGCTGCACTAGTGATGGGCTGGTGCCAAGAAACTGCCGGGGCGAGCAGACATCCAGGTCTGGCTGGGACAGCCCCAGGGTCCAGGGACTGTCCTGTCACCCCTTTGTCCTCCCCTTCCCCAGCCCACACCCTTTTCCATCTGCCTTCCTCCCAAAGGGCAGCGTTCCTGCTGCCTCAGGGCTGCGGGATGTGAGGGGAAGCAGGAGCAAAACAGCAAAACCTCAGTGTTGTTCCCTTTCCCTGGCCCAGAAAGGAGGAAGGCAGCGGTGTTATTAATTGGGATTAATGCAGTCGCTTCCTATTTGCTTCTTCCTAACGAGGAGAGCTGGGGGGAAGCTGCTCCTGTTTGTTCTCGGTTCTTCAAGGCACAACCAGAGCCTGTAATTAAGATCAGTTTTCCTGCCAGCCTAGGAGGGGCTGTAATATTCACACCAGCCCTTCCAAAGCCCATCCCACGTCGTGCTCTGCAGACATGCCTCAGCACCACGGAGAAAACTGAAGTTGGTAGAAACCCTTAATGCTCAGAAGTTACCTGCGACTGTGCTTCACGAGAAGCACGAAGCAGTCCCCTTCTAGCAAAGAACAGGGTTCCCCATCATTTTATATACCCAGAAACGGAAGCACAGCAGCCTTGCTCACTACCTCTTGCAGCTCCATAATGAGATTTGCAGTAGCTGGTATTTTCCCATAAACTCTGAGTTCCTGGACTCACGTGATCGGAGTATGAGGCTTTTGGAAGGAAGCAGAAAGAAGAGTCTTTCCTTAATGATTATAAAGCAAAGCCTGAAAGTTTGAACATAAGAGCCCCAATGGACCTAAGGTTGAAAGGCAAATAAAAAGAAGCTGAAATGTCTAGTTTGGGGATCATCTTATTTAATGCTCAGAGTTGGCTCCTGCCTGCGTTAATGACATGGGCAGGAAGCAGTGACAGATGTGAGAAGGGAGCCAAGAGCTCCTGATCTCTATCCCTGCACTGCTGACAACCATCCCACGTCCTTATGCAAATGCCATTTACTTAAGCCAGGCCTGCGCCTCTCCACCGGGCGATCTTGCACAACCCCTTCGGGCCATTACGTTGCATAAACCACCTCGGGGAAATTTTTTTTTCAAAACCAACTTTCCAACGACGCTCAAGTCAACCACAAAATTTGGTCAGCGCCCAGAGGGTGGCCTGAGCATCTGAAACCCTGATCTGAAACCTGCCATCCGGGTATCGGGACTTGGATCCCCCTGTGCTGAGCTGAGCTGCCTTGGCACCGAGGCGACCTGCAGCAAAACATCAGGAGTTTGGGAACCCAGGCCATCGGCTCTTAGAGATGCATCCTTCGGAGGCTTTCCCAGCTTCTGGACCTCAGTAAGGGAAGGTGAAGGAGACTAAGCCTACAGCAGCAACTTGGTGGGTGCAGAGGGACCAAGTGATGGTTCAAGGCCTGCAGCAGTGCCGCAGCCCCAGCAGAGTGGAGGGGTATGGAACTTGCTACGGGTGCCAACTCCCTTACCGTTCTCGCCAGCCTCCAACATGCCCTGCAAGTATCGGAAGGATCCGGACTGCTTAGGCTCAGAAACGGGCTTTTCATAATCCTGAAGCATCTTGTAGACATCTGACTCCACATCAATCCCATTTCTGTTCCGCGGGAGAGACTTCAAGGGGTCAATGCTGTTTTAAAGAAAAGAAAGGCTCAAGTCAACTGTAAACAGCAATTGTCAGCTCATCAGGGAGGTACTGAAACCTCCAGATTCCCACAGATTCAATTAAACACCTCTCTCCCATGTTTCTCTGCCCGGAGGTACGCCTGTCCCAGGAACAGCCACTGAACGGGGGAAGTTCAACCCGTTCCTTGTTCACTTGGATTGAGCAACACAGCTCAGGCGGGCCCAGTTACCAGATGCCTTCGGGAGAGACAGCAGCTGCTTACAAGCCCTGTAAACTGCTCTGCCACACATGGAATTTATTGAAAAAGAAAAAAGGGTAAACCAATGCATTTCATTAACTACATCAGGCCAGGGCATCCACCCGGCCCTCGTATCACGGTCGGGGCATCGGGCACGGGGAGAGCGTCTGCCCGGCACTGGCAGGACAGCAAATCTCCGTGGCATCCTCAAGCACCTTGCCTGCTGTTCACATTTCTGTAGGCGACTGTGTTAGAAGATCCGTTTCCCAGACACAGCCCACAGCTTAAATGAGAAAACCACCCCGGCGAGCTGCACAGCACCGGGAGGGGACACGAGAGCAGCCCCGTAACCCCCCTCCCAACCACGCGCCCACTCTCAGCAGCCAGACCTGAAACTCCTTGCCTGCCGGGGCAGGATTGGAGTACCACAGGCAACAAACAGTAATTTAATCCATTATTCCAGTTCATTCAATACATCAAAACATGAAAGGCATAGTTTAGAATCAAAAATATTTCGGGTACATGTTTAAGTGTCCTGCTGAGCAGAGATGAATTTGAGGGCTGTTGTGCTTCGCTGAGGCTGTGAGGCACGGCACAGCGTCATGGGAAGGGGCTCCTTTTCCTTTTTAAGGAGAAGGTCATCAAGGTCATTATAAAACCAATAAATACAGTGAAAGCCCTGACCCCCATCAGACAGCTTAACATATTTTAACCATCATCTGAGTTATTTTCTCCACCAGCATGACATTCATGTCCTCTTTAAAGTAATAAAATTGACTTCCAAACAAAGAAAAAAAAACAACCAAAAATTCACTTCCAAAGAAAAACCAAACTCTCTTTCCTGGGAGCGACCCGCCTGGCACTGCCGGTCCCCACGGGCACGCAGAGCAGTGCCGGCTTACTCCCATAGCTCCGAACCCTCAAGACGAGGGGCAGAAGTGCCGCTGCTCGGGATCAGGGCTGAGGACCCATCCCTGCGACTCCTGGGCCAGCCAAAACCCTCCCCCGTGCACCCCTGGTGCCTACCTGCCTCCCCACAGCCCCCTCGCACACCAGTCCACACATTTTCAAAGAGAAAGGGCAGGTTTGGACCAGGCCAGCCTGATCAAGCACAAATTACACGAGAACGCACTTCTGACCCAGTTCTACTCCAAACCCCCAGCTTATCTCCAGGCTTTTGGCTCACATGCTGGTAACAGCAGATTTTCTTCCCCCTATTTTTTTTTGTGCATTTCTCTTCTTTCCAACTTCCTTAATGCTCCTGGAGCAGCACAGGGAACAAGCTGGCTCGCAGCATCACTGGAATAAGAATTCTCACAGGCAGAGAGCTCCTGAGCTGAAAAGGAACTCTCTCCGCTCTTAGTATTTGACACAGACGTTACTTCCTGCAGGACGCTTTGCCAGTCTGGAGGAGCACAAATCGGGGGCAGCGCAAGCCATGCGAGAGCATCGCGGTCCACAACCTGGCCTGTCTCAAAGTCCCACTTATCCACCCAAACCCTTCTCGGCTACACTAAGGCTTTTTCTTTCTTATGAGCACTAGTTATTTCTCAGCCTCCCGGACAGCTGCGCAGGGCAGATTTTACTTTTACAAACATCTCTGCCGATACCTCCAGCTCCCCGGCCGAGGGTTTGCTCCTGGCTCTGTGGCAGTGCAATCCCCGCTCCTGCGAGGGCAAAACCCCTTCCGCCCTGCCTTGAATATGTACTTTGAAAAACCAGGATACTAACGTATGTGACGCTCCCCAGCATTCATCCCAACCTGGGGTCTGGATCTGCTGATGATGATCTACCTTCCCCACCCTTTTTTGTGGTGGTGGTGTGTTGGGTTTTTTTTTTTTTTTGTTTGCTTGTTTGTTTGGTTAGGGGGTTTTTTTTTGGTTTTCTCCCCCCTGGCACTCGACTAACAGAGCAGGAGCTGACCCCAGCATCTCTGGAGCATCTCCGGGCGCAGCCCAGCCTCAACACCACCCCCTGAAACCCAGAGTTTGCACGAAAAGCAGCGGGACGCAGCGCGTGAGCCTTGCTCGTCCCACCTTTGGGCAGGACTGATGTGGAGCCCACACAGCTGGCCCGGCAGAGCCGACTCCGAGCTGCTGGGAGCGTAGAGCCGGGTCGGGGGCTGCACGTTCAGCGTCTGCTTGTTGTCCACGGGGCTGCCACCAGTTCCGTGGGGCATCAGCCTCCGGCTCTGGGCAGGCCCGTTATCCTGGAAAAGAATCAAAAAAATCAGAAAAATCCTGTGAGATGTATAGTTTTAGTATGATGTACACAGGGAGACAGTGTGGGGACGTGCACTTTGCAGTAATAATATTCTACATGTGCTGTGGAAAACTGAGATACGCAGCAGGAAAAGGAAAACTCAGACTCGACCTGCAGTTAAACCTTGCTGAACCTATTTGGTCTCCAACCAAATGAACTTGCCTGTTTCTCCACAGTGAGCCACTGCCAAGGATTCTGCGTTTATTCTCCTGTAAAAGCAGATTTGTTATTTCCGCCAGAGAAAGGCTGCGAGTCTGCTTCTCGTTCCGCGTTACATCATTCCGAGCGCGCTTATCGCTCTCCTGGCTTCAGGGCAGTCGCTCCTGATTCGCATCAGGAACACGATAAAACCCAAGCTCTGCAGCTACGTGCACAGGGCGGGCAACACCTGAAGCCAAGGGGCCAATTCCTGCTATTTTCACTTACTTGCAACTTCCCCTATTCACAAAGATCCAGGTTTTCTCCCAGAATAAGATCAGTCATTAACAGTCCGAGAATCGCATCGGACAAGGGTTTAGCTGGGTTTTCATATCTTCATTGTTTTTTTAATTCCCATGGCAAACTATGGAAATATTTTTGTCATAAATCCTGAAGTCAGGAACTCCAATGCCATTAAAACGCAAGTTTTCCATATTATTTTAGCTACATAAAACATTACCTATGTGATTTTTCCAAGGCTTTGTTAGTCAGCCCCGTGCACACCCATAAATCCAACAGTACCTACTGCTAATCTTGCCACCAGCCGCCTCAGCCAGGCTCTACCCGCTAAGGCTCAGCCTGGGGAGTGACCAGCAGCCCTTCCCCTGGCCAGGGGCTCATTCCAGCTACCGGGAAAAGCAGCAAAAGCCGGACACAGCCTAAGGACACATGCTGCTGCTGCTATTTCCAGCCATGCGAGTCAAACACGCCCGTACCGATGGAAGAAATGAATGCTTCTGTAAGAGGCTGTAATCTGCTTAATCTGAATTAATCTGTTAAATCTGGTTTAATCCACTTCAGGGCAGATCCCCAGGGATGTTGCCTCGCACCAGCTTTTCAGCAGACTGAAGCTGATGCAAAATCAAGCAGAAAAAGAAAACACCGTCCTGTGAACAAACAGCAAAGTGCATATTGCAGGGCTCGGATACAAAGCTTGCTTTTGACTAAAATAATCCAATAAATACTAATTGGAAACAAATGTCTATCACTGGTGCATAGCAGAAAACACTGGCGCTCCCAAGCCCTGTAAAAATGAACAGCTAAGAGAAATAAAATCCAGATCCCGCTAGAAAAAACATCCTGAAAGTCCAATTCTTCAGTTCTTCCACAGGCAAAACTCCCATTGATAAAAACCGGGCTTAATTAAGAACTGCAAGATGGTGAATCTGAGGGTTTTTCTCTGCCACCAGCTGAAAATCTGCAGAGTCCTGGCACTTCCACCGCCCTGAGAGCCTCGGCAGCCGCCCCAAGCCCTCCCGGCACCGCTCCTTCCACGCTGTGCATGCACACACACGTCGGGAAAATTGCTCCAACATAACAACTTCAAATTATCTATTAAAAACCGAATTTTGCTGCCAGGAATAATACACTTTTCACTGTTCCCCAACTTATATTCTTAAAAAACCAGGCGAAGGGTTCCCAATTCCCAGATTTACATTGTTATTTCAAGGGAAATAAAGAAAACACTTTCAACCGTGACACAGAGAGGAAAAGAAGGACCATAAACATTTCAGGGAAAAAAGCAATGGCCCATGCTGGCTGGCAGGCTGTTGTGACTACAGAGTTATGCTTCTGAAAAGCCATTATCGTTAATTTTCTGTGCCACAGGGCCCAGGTGCAGGCTCAGTCCGAGGGAAGCGGTGGCTGGAGCAGGGTGCTCTGCTCTCCTCTGGCCCCACCGGCTCCTCCGTAGCCAGGACACCCGGATCCTTTGCCGGGAAGCACAGGGCTGGCGGCTATGTCTGGAATGAAAGCCTCCATCAAAGGGCCTAGAGACCAAGATACCCACAGATCTGTTTTAATCCGAGGGAGCTTGTAAAGCGTCGCCCATTCATCCCTGTTAAGCTCAGCAATTTGTACACTGAGAGCAAAACTTGCCATAAAGCTAAAACTTAGGGTTTGGCTGCTCTCCAAAGGCAAAGGACGGTGATGGAAATGGGAAGTTTGAGCGCCCCATGCAAGGCTGAGTCGCTCAGCGTCCCCGGCTGCCACCAGCTCCTGGACCTGCAGGAGGACGATGCCCGTGGGGGTGGCAGCTCACCCCCACATCAGCTCAATCGTGGTACAAAGCCACAGGTGACCCAGCAGCATCACAGAACGGTTTGGGTTGGAAGGGACCTTAAAGCCCACCCAGTCCCACCCCCTGCCATGGGCAGGGACACCTTCCACTAGACCAGGTTGCTCCAAGCCTCAGCCAGCCTGCCCTTGATCCATAGGGATCAACAGGCTCCTCCCACTACCCTAACACTGACCAGGCCAAGACCATGGAGATGGAGCAATGGATGTCCCTCAGCCTTTTCCACCAAGTTTTTGGCAGGCTTTGGAGAGCTGGACCTTGTGTCGGGGCAGCTAATGGCTTTCTGAGAACCACGCACAAGCATTTACCCCTCGGCGAGCACACCACCTCAGCCCTCCTTGTTGCTCTCAGTTTCTCCACCGTGCAACCTTCCTCTTGCCCAAGAAGCTGTTCTTGGGACAGAGCTCAGACTCCTTTTTCTCATCTCAAAAGCTGCAAGACCTGTGCAAGGCTTCACACTGTGCAAAACACGCACACATTTGTTCTCGGAAGCCTAGAACCAGATGGATTTCTTTCCTGTTCTCAAATTCAAGATCAGAAGAAATTTCCCCCCTTCGGGACCTAATTTGCTTTTCTCTGCTGGTTTTTCTTCCTGCCTTTTACGGCCTCTCTGAAGGTAAGAGGGCTGGCAAACCCTTCCTAAGAGCTGGCCTGCGAAGCTTCACCGAGGAGAACTCTCTTAGCCTGCACAACAGAAACTCGCTGTCTGTTTTCTCACGCTTGCCTTCCAGCGCCATCGATTACGAAGCGTAACCAACCTCCTGACACGCAGCATTTGGAGCTCCTGGAGCCCAGTCCTCCCCGCTCCTGGCAAACATGGCTCACGCGGCCGTCCCACGCCGGATAAACGCGGGAGAGCCAGAAGGGAGCCGTTTGAAGCCCAGTCGCAGGGAGCCCGAGCTTGGGGCAGTTTGGTGTGTGGCTGCAGCACAAGGTGCAGTGAGTGCCCTTGGCCAGTGCCCAGCCAGACTGACCTTGCCTGGTCACCGCCTTGCTGGGCACCCCCAGCCTGTCCCTTCCCACCATGGGAAGGAGTGAGCAGAGGAAAAAGGGATTATTTGGAAGAGAATGAGCCACAGCAAACAAAAAAATACGTCCTGCAGCAGCCACCTGCACGGCATCGTCACCTCCTTCTCAAGATGCATTGACCAGCGTTGTACAAGCGCAGCCCATACCCTACCAAGCACAGGTAAGGGCTGCCCATACCCGTACAGTATTTATATCCCAAGGAACCGTTTCCAGCAGAAGGAAAACACGGGGCGTACGGGAGCGTTTCTCTTGGCAGGAGGCTGGGGCAGTCCTGTACTGAGCTGTGTCAGGAGCAGCAGTGGCAGGACCTTGCCCGGAGCTGCCGTAGGGCTGTAAGCACCGACGAGGCACGTTGGGTTGGCTGCTGCATCTCCTGCCACCGACCCTTGGACACCAACAGCCAGATGCCGTCAGCTTTGCTTGCCCGGGGCTGTAGCTCCCCGTATGCAGAGTCCCAAGCATGTTCTTAGGTGCCACCGTTTACTGAGATGGGAGAAAAGAGAAATTTAACTGTTTTTTGGATACCTGGGTCGCATCTCCACCACCCAACACAGCATCAACAGCACAAAAGGAACCATTTTCCTTTGATAGTTAAGGGAAAGATGATGAATGACAGGATGATTGGATTTCATCTCGGCAATTCCTCAGAGTCACAAATAGGGAAGGGCTCAAAAGTTAAATACTTCTATCAAGCTAATCACTGCTACAAGAAGTATCGCCATAAGTGTTCCGATACACTTTAGTAAAACACATCCAACCTTACGTTCCCAAAATTTGACCATTTTGCCACTTCAGGTTCTCTTAAGAAAAAAAAGGATATTTTTTTCCACTTGAAAAATGCTCTTTTTGTCCTTCCAGACTTTTCCAAATACAAGTCTTCAGCTTCATAGGCCACAGGTTTTAGACACAGCTTTAGAGAACATCAGGCTTCACGTTCTGATCCAAAGCATTTAAAGTTCATTCACTTCACAGTGTTTTAAACCAGACCCTTAAAAGGCCAGAAGTGCAAACAAAAAATCTCATTTTCCAGATTATCTGACAGAGATTAACTAAAGATTGCTAATCTCAGAGGCCAATTTTGGTTCCTACAACCTCCCTGCAAGCACCTACATCCACGGCCTGATTTGGAAGAGCTTTAAGCAATGGCAGCTTTGGCATGTGAGAAACCTTCCCTGGGAGCAGACGCATCCAATCCCAAAATTACACCTCCGAGCCCCAAACCCATCCTGAAGCCCACTTGTGCAGGGGGGGAAGGTGTGGAGGGGCAGGACCAGCGGCTGCAGGAATCGCCTGCAAGGTGTTTATTTTCCTAAGCCGAAGGGAGTCAGTCCCACTATCGTTATAAACACACGCTGCCTCAGACTTAAACAGAGCTGCGGGTCGTTAACATCTTGGCTCGGCAGAGAGCAGCTTTCCCTCTGACATACATCAGATCCACGCTTTTCCTAACACCAGAACATGCTCAGTGTCAGACGGGCGCTTGCTGCCAAAATGCTGAAGATCAGGGACTATTTGTGCAACAAGAGATCAAACCATCCCTCAGCCATGGGGTCACCGGGAAGAAATAGCAGTGAGACTGAGATGGGACATCAGGAAGGAATTCTTCCCGCAGAGGGTGGGGAGGGTCTGGGACAGGTTCCCCA